CAAGAAATCCTGGACACGATGTGTCCGACTCACAAAAGGGGCACCAAACTGAACCCAAAACGGCCACGGATGTAAGATCAAAGGCATGATCATCCTCACGCTTTGGGGTTCAGGGTTTGGTGCTAACAGATTGTCATTCATGACGCACGCGTAATACACGACAATCTCCTACCGCACAAAATGACTAGTTGCAGACCAGCTGAACTAGGTGCACAGGACGGAGGCGAGCGCGCTCCTTTTTCCAGCCACGACTCGATTCAGTGGCTAGATTTCCCCAACTATTGTATTAAAGGGTGCAGTTTTGGTGCACTGTCCCAGTGAATATTTGCACCTGTGGTGCCTTTATGATGCGGGACCGGGTAATCGAACTTTCCCGTCGCTGGTGTTCGATTCCCGTCGTAGCCAACACCAGCATGGTGCTACACCAGGTGAGCTATCGGCCCCTGAAAGCGCGCTGCAGGTGGCCCAGCTCGGGGATATTCTCAAAACCGAGAGTAGATGCTACCCTGATGTCCCCAATGAGCTTCAAGGCTCGATTGGTGATAGCCTTATGGGGAACGTCCAACTTGGACCATAACAGTCCTTGGGGCAATGCTTCAAACCTACTGATGGGGTCTGAGATGTTGGCCTTGGTGGGCACTCTCTCGAGCCTATGTGCAATACCCCTCCTATTATGCCATGTCCAGTGTGCACTGATTAGGGCGTTCAGAGGCTGATGTTTCCCGACGCCCTTGATGATGGCGTGCCGGGCCGCCTCATTGTCACAGCACTGGATGTAGAAGTCGCCCAGCAGGGGCTCGAAGACCAAGGGGGCCAGCAGGGCCACCCACGCCTCCAGCAAGTAGACGAATGCGGTGTTGGAGCTGAACTGAAGGAGGATCTCTTTGGGGAGGCGTCCCTGGAAGAACCATGCTCGATCGACCTCTCCTGGGGAAAGATGACCGCGCCAAAGCCGTTGTCCATGGTGGGATAATCCTGAGGCTGCCAGCTCTTGGGGATGGGAGCAGGGCAGCTTTGGTGGGCTTGTCAAGTGAGGTTTGATGACCGTGGGCTCTTGCGTAGATGGCTTTGAGCGGGGCCCGGCCAACTTTGCCGAACAACCTACCGGTGAGAAAGTTACACTTGCCTGCCATTCTTCTTGCCATGTCTGGGTCCAGGTGATTGGTGTTCAAACATGTGAGGATGTCTTGGCACATTCTGTCCACACGTTGGGGGCATGGTGTGAGCACAATGTGTTGTTGTTCTATGCTGATGTTGACACCCTGTATCTTGTGTGTCTGGGCTGGTGGCTGTCGCTTCGATGGTTTCATCCGATATCCCAGTGCGCCGTTGAAAATCCTCGAAAGCTTGGAAACCCGATGATGAATGTTTGGTGATCTCGGTGCTGCCGGATCCTAGACACTGAGACCATGGCGTCGCCGAAACGATTGTACCCCCAAACACTGGCTGAGGAGCCGAACAGCAAGACATTGTGGCTCCACAATGTGGGTCCCTGCGGTGTGTGTAGCAGCACGTACGCATTCTCGGGGTTATCCAGGGGGAGCTGCCTGTATGCTCCGTCATGGTCGTGTCCCCAAACGTGCATGTCTGCTGTGGGGTGCGTTTGGTGTGTTTGTATGACCAGTGAAGCAAAGTGGTCCGGTGTGTGGTGGAAAGGTTGGTCATGCATGATGCAGGTGGAATTGTGGCCGCTGCGGCGCCAGTCCTCTCCGCGGCGTATCTTGTCCTTGCCGTCTGACCCTGTTTGCTTGATGCTGAAGGCCATGGCGACCTTAGGCTCGGTGCGCGGCAGGGGTAGGAGGGTCAGATCATACCCCGGGGGTGCAATTGTCGTTGTGGGCCAGGATGGTGGTTGTCTGAATGGTCCGTTCGTGCGGCCTGCTCTGACTTCTTGTACAATCTCTTCCAGCATGAACTCATAATGGTCGTCTACTCGTGGTTTGGTGAGCTTCTGGTGTACGTACTGCTGGTTGTGGTCCGCAAACTGTTGCGTGGATTTGGGTTGGAGGTATTTCTGGTCGGTGCGGATGTACCAATTTGTGCCCGGCTGAAGGTCGCCCATCAGCCGGAAGCCTTGTGTTAGCTCGCGTTCCAGGATGTCTGCTTGGGGGTAATGTATTTGCTTGAGCAGGTGTGTAAACACAGGGGCCTGAGTGGTGCCCGCTGCCGTGGTGTAGGCGTGGTGTACGTGCGGTGGCAGTCGTGATCTCCAGCTGTCCGTGACGCTTCCATGTCTTCGACCAACTGTTGTATCTCTTCAACGGCTTGCCTACGGAACTCATTGATGGGATGGAAGGCCGTGGCTGATTTGACGCACCACACGAGGGTTGGATCTAGGGCTTTCGGAGTGTGGCTGTTGTCCAAGGTTCTGGCCCATTGCAAGTGGTCTCGCCAGGAAAATTGCGGCATGTACAGGTGAGGTGTAGGTCGGGGCGGCGGTCCGAAGTGTACAGGATTTGCTAACCAGATGGCGGTGGCTCTTTGTATGGGGGTGTAGCTGACTGCTGTCACTGGCAGGGCCGTTGGCACATGCCAGTGTTGCCCAATGCCTTGTTGCGGTGGTACTCGGTGGGGTCGTGTGTCATATTGGCGGCGCGTGAGCCTGAGAATCCCATCATCTGTTCGCGCAAGGATGCTGGCGCGAGGCTGGTGGTCCCTTGTTGCGATGTGACCAGATACCTGGCCTGGTACTGCCACGGCGCGATGGTCTGCCTGCCACCGTGCCATGGTGTCGGGTTTCTCGTTTGTCCGGGTGGGAGGAGGGCGCCCGGTCGCATCGGGCGCTGGTGTGGTCAGGCAATGAAAGAGTCCCTGGTTCTGGAGCACTGGCGGTGCTGAGTGTGTCGTCGTGGTGATCGCTGGCTGGAGCGTAGCTGCGAGGGGTTGGGAGTCGGCCATCCTGCTCGCTGTCCATCCACTGACAAGACCATGGGGCGTGGTGTACCAGGATCTGTTGCACGTGTTCCCAGTCCACGGATGGCCACCAGAGCCGTCGATGCCTCCATCTGCTGCGTCAACAATGACGGGCTGGATGTCCAGCTGAGTGGATATGTGGGCGATGTCTGCCTTGACGTCCTCGCGCGGCACTACGTTCTCCAGGAGAACATGTACTGGTACAGGGTGTAGGGCCTTCTTGACGGAGGTCAAGACGTCGACTGTGTGTTGGAATAGATGGCCTGTTGAGCCCGCTGCCCCCTGTGGGATGGTGTTTGATTGCGGAGAAGTCCGGGCACGGTGGGCCCCCGGTGGCAATGACCATTATTGGCTTGTCTTGGTCGACGTTGTCCATGATCGTCTCAACAAAGGTTTCGATGTTGAAGGCGGTGATGTCCCCCATGTGCATCGGTGCAAAGTGCTCATCGAGAACCGCGATGCACTCGGTGTCGATCTCCCAACTCATGGTGAGTACCGGCTGCATCCCCAGGTGGAGGAAGGCCAAGCTGGCTGCTCCAATCCCATCGAAGAAGCTGAGGTGCACCACTGATGTGTCGTGGAACAATTTGCAGGACAACTGTTGGATGCGTTTCTGTCCACCCGTCACCTCGGTGGTAAGGTCTGATGGACAGTTACTATTCTTCGTTGGGCCGGCTCCAGGCTCTTGTCCTGGGCCGTGCTGTCCCTAATGTTGGGCTTTTCCGCCGCCGCGGCCCTTGCTGCCTTTGCCTTTGCCCTTGGGCTGGTGGAACTGGGCTTGCTGTCCTTGTTGTTGCCAGGTGTTGAACGCCGGTTGTTGCCAGTTGATGTTTGGCTGTGGTACGATCTGATGCTGTGGGAAAATCGGGGGGTTTGGAGGGAAGGCCTGAGGTGCTGGGGCCATCTGCCACTGTGCTGGCCACTGCGGGGTGATTCCATCCCTTGTATGCTTTGCCCTTCCCTTTGTAGCCACGGCCCTTCCCGTTGGCTCTGTTGCCCTTGAGGCGCTCCTGGTAACGGTCGTGGTTGTCTGTTGTCCTCTGCTTCTTCCTAGGGGACTGCATGAGGGCGTCATTGACTGTGGACAGGTCCGCCATGAGCTCATCGATGATGGTGCTGAAGGTTTCTGTCTGTCTCATT